CAAGGCAGCAGCCCTGGACTTCAGGAGGATGGATTTCAATGAGGTAAGGAGACTAGTCAGGGAGACACTGAGGTCTTGGAGGGGAGGGGAGTTGGGAGTCCAAGAAGAGTGGTCGTTCCTTAAGGAGACGATCCTCCAAGCCCAACGTGTGACAATCCCCATGTGGATCAAAGGGGGTAAGAGTACTCAAAAGCCTCCATGGCTCACCAAAAGTATCCACGAATGCCTCAAAGTCAAAAAGGAGGCATACACCCAATGGAAGGGAGGGGCCATCACCAAGGAGGATTATACCTCCTTGGCTTGAGATTGTAGGGGGACTATTAGGAAGGCTAAGGCAGGGATGGATCTGGGACTAACAACCCGGATCAAAGATAACAAGAAGCCTTTTTTAAATACATAGGGGGTAAAAAGAAGGTGCCAAATAATGTGGGGCCTCTGCAGGATGTGCTTGGTAGCACCAGACGACAAAGCTAATCTCTTTAACAGATTCTTTGCTTCCATTTTTCTGAGCAGGGGCAGGGACATCCCCCCACTGGGATTCCGGACGGTCCCAGGGGAGGCGCAGCCAGGCCCAGGGTCAGTGAGGACCTAGTTAGGGAACTTCTGGAGGGACTAGATGTGTTCAAAACAGCAGGTCCTGATGATCTCCACCCCAGAGTGCTTAGGGAACTGGCAGAGGTCATTGCAGGACCACTGGAACAGCTTTACAAGCACTTGTGGTATTCTGGTGAGGTGCCTGACGACTGGAAAAGGGCCAGTGTGGTCCCCATTTTCAGAAAAGGGAGGAAAGAGGACCCAGAAAACTATAGGCCCATTAGTCTTACCTCGGTCCTGGGGAAGCTCTTTGAGAAAATTATCCAGGAGCACATCTGCAAGGGGCCAGCAGGGGCTTTTGTGCTAAGGGGCAATCAACATGGGTTCATTAGAGGCAGGTCCTGTCGGGCCAACCTGGTGGCCTTCTGTGACCAGGTCACCAAAGCCTTGGGTGCAGGTGTTGCTGTGGGCGTAGTCTTCCTGGACTTTAGGAAGGCCTTCGACACTGTCTCTCACCCCATCCTCATTAAAAAATTAGGCGTCTGTGGTGTCGACACTTACACAGTCAGATGGGTTGCAAATAGTCTGGACAGCCGCACCCTGAGAGTGGTGGTGGATGGGTCATTTTCGACCTGGAGAGATGGTGGGCAGTGGGGTTCCCCAGGGCTCAGTCCTCGGGTCTGCACTGTTCAATATCTTCATGGGCGATTTGGATGAGGGGGTGAAAAGCACCTTGTTCAGGTTTGCAGATGACACTAAAATGTGGGGAGAAGTGAGCATGCTAGAAGAGAGGGACAAGCTACAACTGGATCTTGACAGGTTACAGAGGTGGGTGGATGAGAATAGGATGGGTTTCAATATGGACAAGTGCAAGGTTTTGCACCTGGGGAGGAAGAACCAGCAGCATACGTACAGGCTGGGGAACTCCCTTCTCCTCAGCACAGAGGCAGAGAAGGATCTTGGAATCACTATTGATTCCAAGATGAGCATGGGACACCAATGTGGGGATGCAGTCAGGAAGGCTAACCGCACCTTGTCATGCATCCATAGATGCATCACAAACAGGTCCAGGGAGGTGATCCTCCCTCTCTATGCTACATTGGTCAGGCCGCAGTTGGAAAACAGTTTTAGATTATTACTTAGCTAAAACTCCATTTCTAAGAACAAAATATACATTTCAATTAAAATGAATTCTTTTAAATAATTTTCTTTTTTTCTTTGCTCTCTCCTTTTTTTGTTTAAATAGCCCTTTAACTCCTACCACTCCTGGGAGTCCTATAAGTCCAGGCTCTCCTTTATCTCCAGGTGTCATCCTACATAAACATACTTGTCGTGGCCATCACTTCCACACTGTTGGAGGAGTAGCAGAGAAGGATGTTTGTACTCGCTGTAGTCAAAAAAGATGGCACCTTATAAAACCAGTCAACAAATCTAAAGAGCAGAGAAAAAGCCGACAAGGAGAAGTTACAGTACTTTCTGTGGGAAGGTAAGGCTCTGTTCTGTTAGATTTTTTTTTTAACAGGTTATCCAACTGGTCCCCTTGTATCCTGCTACAGCCCAATTCTCTAGTGATTTTTTGCCCTAACCGGGAATGAAGAAAACTAATTGTTCTGCTATGTTTATCCTACAGTGTTGTTGTTTAGGCTGGGAGCATAGTCTCATAGGTGTATAACAGACATTGGTATGATGTCTTAAATATTTAAGATTTTTTAAAATAGAAACTATCTTAATTTCAGTGTTCATCTCTTGGTTAAAACTTTACATGTTACTCCTTGGCACTATTCCATTTGTATTCTGTTTGTATACCTCCACCTTTGTAAAAGTTCTTGAAGAGAAAGCTGTAATTTCAGTGGTGCAGGAAGCTAAAAGTATTCATGGTACGTACATAGTACAAAATAGTAAAGAGAAATGGAATCTGTATATACTGTTGAAGAACTCTCATTGATGAGATTAGAGGGTAGAGAGAACATTTTTGGCTTATCCTTATTTTCACATAAAACTTTGAATTGAAACGTTAAATTAATTCTACTGTGAAAATGGATTCATTCATGGGCTTCAGTATATATATTCACAACACTTGGAGGTAAGGAAGAAATTAAAACAATTGGCTAGTTCATTTTTTGTAATCTTAGAAGTTGAGAAAAAACCGTAAATGACAA